CATTGTATGATTTTTAAAGAAATTATTTGTCTTGCACTGCTGAACATAAGTATTTGAACACCTAAGAAACAGCAAGAATTCTGGCTCTCAAAGACCTGTTACTGTGCCTTTAAAAAGTCCACCTCTACTCCACTCATTCATCTAACTTAGTAGCACCTGTCTGAGCTCTTTAAAGACACCTGTCCACCCCACAGTCAGTCAGATGCCAACTACTACCATGGGCAAGACCAAAGAGCTGTCAAAAGATACCAGAGACAAAATTGTGGACCTCCACAAAGCTGGAAAGGGCTACGGGGCAATTGCCAAGCAGCTTGGTGAAAATAGATCAACTGTTGGAGTAATTGTTAGAAAATGGAAGAGGCTAAAGACGACTGTCAGTCTCCCTCGGACTGGGGCTCCATGCAAGATGTGACCTCGTGGGGTATCACTGATGATAAGAAAGTTGAGGAATCAGCCCAGAACTACAAGGAAGGAGCTGGTCAATGACATGAAGAGAGCTGGGACCACAGTTTCAAAGGTCACTGTTGGTAGAACACTACGCCGTCATGGTTTCAAACCATACATTGCACAGAAGGTTCCCCTGCTCAAGTCATCACATGTCCAGGCCCGTCTGAAGTTTGCCAATGACGGATGATCCAGAGGAGCCATGGGAGAAAGTCATGTGGTCAGATGATACCAAAGTAGAACTTTTTGGTCTAAACTTCACTCATTGTGTTTGGAGGAAAAAGAAGGATGAGTTGCATCCCAAGAAACCATCCCTACTGTGAAGCATGGGGGTGGTAACATCATGCTTTGGGGGTGGTTTTCTGCAAACGGGACAGGACGACTGCACTGTATTAAGGAGAGGATGAATGGGGCCATTTATTGTGAGATTTTGAGCAACAACCTCCTTCCCTCAGTCAGAGCATAGAAGATGGGTCATGGCTGAGTCTTCCAACATGACAACGACCCGAAGCACACAGCCAGGATAACCAAGGAGTGGCTCCGTAAGAAGCATATCAAGGTTCTGGAGTGGCCTAGCCAGTCTCCAGACCTAAATCCAATAGAACATCTTTGGAGGGAGCTGAAACTCCGTGTTGCTGAGCAACAGCCCCGAAACCTGACAGATCTAGAGGAGATCTGTGTGGAGGAGTGGGCCAAAATCCCTGTTGCAGTGCAAACCTGGTCAAGAACTACAGGAAACGTTTGACCTCTGTAATTGCAAACAAAGGCTTCTGTACCAAATATTAACACTGATTTTCTCAGGTGTTCAAATACTTATGTTCAGCAGTGCAAGACAAATAATTTCTTTAAAAATCATACAATGTGATTTCCTGAATTTTTTTTTTTAATTCTGTCTCTCAGAGTGGGAATGCACCTACAATGTGAATTTCAGACCCCTCCATGATTTCTAAGTGGGAGAACTTGAAAAATCGCAGGGTGTTCAAATACTTCTGTTCCTCACTGTATATTAAAAAAAAGCTCTGCGCTTATGGTGAAACAATCCTATATCCCAGATCACCTGCTGAACACCTATCTATAATCCAAATAGAAAAATAGTAATACCATGGGGTAGTATACTAGAGGCAAATAGACTGTGCACTTTGCAAGTGCTGTTGCCCTCAGTTTCCACAGAGCTTAATAAATGTAGTAAAGCTCTGCTGATTCTCATCATCCAATCATGTGCAAGCAAAAATGCTTTTTTTTCCCTTGCACCTGATTGAGTATTATTTACAAAGTCAAGCTTCACCACATTTACATTTACTAAGACAAATGAGTGCAACTGCAAAGTGCACCGTGTATTTACCTTTAGTAAATCAACCCCCATAAGAACTTTATTTCCATACCAGTAATAAAAAATAATAGATAAATAAACCTCATTAAAGTGGAACTGTATTGCATCTGAGAACTACAAAACAAAAAATGATATTTAATTCATTTTTAATATTCAAAGCAAACTTGCCCATCCATCCATGTCTCTGTGCTTTATTTTGCTGAGAAATCAATTTGAAAGACACCCCCTGGTATTTCTGACAGTGGCCATCTTGAGTAAGGGCAGATGATTCATGTAACATTTACTTCCTGTAATCCATCTGCCCTTAGCTCAGGCATAGGCTGAGCTGAGAACCCTCCCCTCCTGAAGACTGCTGGGATGTATGACATCATTTGCCTAGGCATGGAGACCAGGAAGTAACTAAAGAAATGTAAAAAAAAATGTTTAAAAACAAGTAAATATGATATATCTATTTAATAATGCTAGCAGCATAAGGATTAAAAATAGTCCATGCTGACTGAGAGAGTGATGTTTTGCTTTAATTTACACTGTAAAAAAATATTATACAATTCTTTGTGCATCATTATTATTCCTTCATCTGTGGGAACCTTACCAATAATCATTAAAGTGGTTCTAAAGGTTCAAGGATTTTTACCTTAATGCATCTTATGTATTTAAGTAAAAAACCTCCTGGGTGCGGCTCCCCCCTCAGTTCTCTCTTATACTTACCTGAGCCCAATCTCGATCCAGCGCTGTTCATGAGAGCCACGGCTCTCTGGGGTCTCTCTCTCCTCATTAGCTCACACAGCAGCAAGAGCCATTGGTTCTCAATGCTGTCAATCACAGCCAGCGAGACAATGAGGAAAGAGTGGGGCAGGGTCCAGCCATGCCCTGTGTGTGAATGGACACAGAGCGCACCTCAGGAGCGAGCCTGCTTGGGTGCCTCATAGCAGTCCTGTACTCAAATGTTAAAGTGGTTGCAAAGGCTCAAGGTTTTTTACCTTCATACATTCTATGCTTGAAGGTAAAAAAAAACTTGTGGCCAGCAGCCCTTCAGCCCCCCCAATACTTACCTGGGCCCCCTCGCAATCCAGCGCTGTGCACTAGAGCCTCGGCTTTCTGGTGGGGCCATTGGCTTCAGCTGCTGTCAATCACAGCCAGTGATCCAATGATGAGTAAAAGGGGGCAGGGCCAAGCCAAGCTCTCTGTGTGAATGGACACACACAGTGTGGCTCAGAAGCGAGACTGACTGGGTGCCCATATAGCAAGAGGCTTGCTACTTTAGGCACTCGGCAAGGGGAGGAACCAGGACCACAGGCACGGGACCCAAAAAGAAGAGGATCAGGGCTGCTCTGTGCAAGACCATTACACAGAGCAAGTAAGTATAGACATGTTAATATAATTTTAAGACTTCCCACCATAATTACAATGAAGCATAATTTGGATATTCCTTAATAAAGGCACTTTTGTTGCGAGTATAACTTTGTTATTTTTTTAAATTCTTTCCTTTAGAATAATTTTAAAATAAATTATAATAAGAAGAAGAAAGTAATTTCAATAAAGTGTCTTATTAATTGTGCCACAGTTCATATATAATAAAAACATATAAATCTTCTTTGCCAAAGCAGTAATCTAAAGTGTTCCTAATAAAGTGTCATTTTGCTGCCCCACAGTTCATATAGAAAAAAGTATACAAATCTTCTTGTGGCAATCCCAATCCTTGGCCTGTGTACCTATAGCAAAATCCAGTGTCTCAAGTCTTGAGTGTGAACTCAAGGTGCCACTCCAAACATCCCAGATGCCAAAGTGCCACTCCACTCACCGGATTTTATGTGACCCCTTAACTCAATAGAAAGGTCTCAAAGTGTTTTTCATATATATTCCGCTCCACAGGGTTTCCACCTTTGCCTCTTTCTCCTATGGTTGTCACCATTTAAGCCAGCTTCCAGTAATCTCCATGCCACCACAAATGATTATGCCAATCATTGCATTGCACTACAGACACTTGTAAAGGTGGTGAAGCTTAACCACATTCCCTAAGCTCTGGGGAAAATACCCTTGTAGAGTGCAAGCAAACTCTACAGAGGTAAATGCACTGTATATCAACCCTACAGACCAGCCTTCTCAAACTTTTTAACATGGAGGAACCCTTGAAATAACTTTTTGGCTTCAGAGAACCCCTGCCAAAAATTATTATATTTACAGCTCACAGTACATAGTGTGATGGTCAGTGTGAAAAATGCTATAGACTCAAAAGTATTAATGCCAGACAAAGCCATGCCATGTAGTGGTGTACCGAAATTAAAATTTGAGTGCCGAAACCGAAAATTCAAAATGCACTTGGCCGAAAACCGAAACTAAAATGCGTAGTTTTTAAAAATGAATATATATTTTTGGAGAAAACTACACTTTGATTAAAAAAAAATATATACCCCATTTTTTTTGTAAAATATGAAACAGGATATTACAGCAAGTAAATAGATGCCCAACATGTCACGCTTTAAAATTGCACACGCTCGTGGACTGGCGTGAAACTGCGGTACTTAACCTCCCTGGCGGTATGATTAATTCAGATTTTTGGTGCTAAAAGCGGTACCATTATTTTTTTGCATGGAAATTTGGCGTTTTATATTGTAGGCCTGTAATTTTTAGGAATAACTCACTGAAATCTGTCCGAACAAGAGTCTAGTAAACATCTAAACAACAGGATAAAATTTGAAACACGAAATCATAAATTATAATTTAATAAATAATCATAAAAAATAATATAATAATAAATGTAATTCAATAATATATTCAAACCAAAAACACTGAAATTTGAAATAGAGCGCCAAGTTCGCACATCACTGAGCAAAGTCGCAAAATCGTTTTCAGTGTCTGATGACGAATTTCCCCCACGAATCATTATCACTCAATTCTGCAAGTGGTTCTAATTTACTATCGCTGTTCTCTAGCCGGTCTAAAACCACTTCTGACCTAAAGGGACGCTTTTTGGACGCCATGGACGTTTCTCAGTTTCCAGGCAGAAAGAACAGTAAAAAATGCAGGCAGGGCACAGGACAAAGCACTCGGGACAAAATGTATGTGAAATGGTTTGATACAGTAATGTTATACTATGTGATTTTAGTGATTTTAGTGAATGTCACTTTTTGTCATTTTCAAATTTCCCGCTGTTCCGTCCCCTGTACGTCCCGACGCTCGCAGGGGACAGAACCCAGATGACAGATGCCGGCATCCGTCGGATTACATTGCCGGGGACACTGCAGGGGGGACATCGCGGGAGCGCAGGAAAAGGTAAGTGCAAGAGGGATCCCGAAGCAGCGCTGCAGTGTATTCCCGAGTGTAGCTCGGGTTACCGCTTGTGGTACTGAAACTTTACCCCGAGCTACACTCGGGAATACCGCCAGGGAGGTTAAAAATCTCCATGAGTGATGCTTTAAAAATTTCTACAGGTTAGCAGTGTGAAGTTACAGAGGAGGTCTAGTGCGAGAATTATTGCTCTTGCTCTGACGTTCATGGCGATACCTCACGTGTGTGGTTTGAACACCATTTACATATATGGGCATGGCCTACGTATGCGTTCACCACTATGTGCGAGCATGGGGGGACGGGGGCACTTTAAACTTTTTTTTTTTTTTATTTAATGTTTTTTTTTTCAATGTCCCTTTAAAAAAAAATTGAATTACTTTTATTCTTATCACAAGAAATGCATGCATCCCATGTGATAGAAATAATGAGTTACAGGTCCTCTTTATGGTCAATAAGACCCCATATCTCTCCTCTGCAATGTAAAGCATTGGATCAAAAAAAAGCATTGATCTAGTGAATTAAAAAAAAAAAAAAAAATGGCCAGAACCGAAGTGACATCGCTCCGGTCCTCCAAGGGCATAGAGATGAGTGGAGGTCATCTTTCCTTCACTCATCTCTATGCCCAGCGCCGGGATCATTCGATGGTCTCTCAGGTAAGGCTGAGAACTACCGAGCAGCAGCGGTGGCGAGGGGCAGCGGCAGAGGTGGGCGGTGGCGAGGGGCAGGGTTTTTTCGGCACCTGTATTAGGGTTTTTTTTTTTTTTTTTTCATTTCGGCCGGGTGTTTTCGGATGAAACTTTTTGACTACCGAAATTTCGGTGCATCCCTAATGCCATGTATCTTCAAAAGAGTTCCAGCAATGGCAGCTCCCTTATTTTTCTTATGACAGGGTCACTTTAGCAGTGAGACTCCTCTCGTAGTGGGAGTGGTAGGCGAGCGGGGTCTAGAGAGTGTATTTATTAAAGACAAATAGGCTGTTCACTTTCACTTTATCTTCCCCAGAGCTTACAGTAGTTAATGTGAAATTTTACTTTGCAAAGAATACCGGATCATGTGCAAGGAAAAAAAAAAAAACAGCTTTTTTGCATGCAAATGATTGGATGGTGGAAGTCAGCAGAACTTTACATCATTCACTAAACTCTGGAGATTATTCCCTTGCAAAGTGAGCAGCTTATGTGCCTTTAGTAAATCAACCCTTAGAACTCAAGTAGATAAACTCTTAGGGCTGCAAATGAAATACCAATTCTTGAATCCATTCATAATTGGAAATGGATGAGACAGGGATACAACCACTACTAGGATATTCCGATGACTTAAAAAGAAAGCCAGCATTTTAGTAAATGTCTGCAAGTGGTTATCCATTATTATACAAATTAGAATACAGCCATAACATTCCAAAGCATTTGGCTGTTCAGGCCTTAGTCATGGATATGACTAAGGCCTGAATGGCCAAAAGACGTTGGCATTTTATGGCTGTATAATAAAGGATGATCACTTGCTGACATTTACCAAAGTGCCAGCTTTCCTTTGAAGTCTTTAATTCATTCAGCCAATGTTCCAATGTTATTTTCGAACAGACAACTTATCATGAACATGACTAAGGACCAAACAGCCAAAACACGTTGGGATTTTATAGCTGTACTCTACATTGTATGACATTTACTGAAGTCCCCGGCTTTCCTTGAAGTCCTTAATCTATTCACATAATATAAAATGTCATTTTCTAACATACGTCTTATCATGCTTCTACTATTAATGTGCTAATAGAAGTCAGTCTCTCACCAATAGGCACAGGTGGTAAAGGAACCATCTCTGTGCAATTATAACCTCATACTGTGACTATTACCCCTCTCTGGTCAGTGTACAAATGTTCCCCAACACATTGAAGGGGTCTTTCTCCTTTTTATGGAAAAGGAGTAACAAGTTGAGCATAAATAAAAAATACTCAGGGCTGTCTTTATGCATGGGCACACCTGACCACTACCCAGTTGTCCAGGTCCATGGGGGCCCCATGAAACCTTTGCATTACAACATACTTGCCAACTGTCCCAGATTTGCTGGGACAGTCATGCTTTTTACTAAGCTGTCCCAGGATGGCCCAGGCAGCCTCCAAGAACCTGTACTGTTCCCTCTTGTTCCCAGTATTGTGCCCTCCTGACTCCTCCCTTTACTGTGCCCTTCTGCCTCCCCCCCCCCCCCCCACCTCCTCCAGTCATGTGTCCTTTATGTAGATCAGTCTTTGATTTATGGCATTTTTGTATTGATTAAAATACATTTTATTGAAAGCACTAATAAATATATGTTTAATTCTATCAACTAACAATACATTAATTCTTGAGAGTAGGTGCATAAATTGGGGCAGGCTGGTAGGAGCCCCAGTGCATTACTTTGCCCAGGGGACCATGATGCTATTAGGATGGTCCTGAGAATACCTGGAGAATCTCTGTGAAATAACTACTCACATACAAATCTGTGAACTTAAAAAAACCATATTCTCTTCAAAACATTCATAATAGTGTAAGTTGTGACGTGATAACTTACCATAGATTCGCTGATCAGCAGCAGTAGTAGTAGAGCCTCCTCGATATTGTCCTGAGGGCAGAACAGGCTACAAATACACAAGTGAAGAACTAGGTTATACACTGCAGCTCCATACAAGTGTTACATTGGCAGACCAGTAAGGGAAAACAAGCCATGCATGATTCATGTGCCACCTAATACCGTCACTGGGCACCTCATCCTTCATACCGATCAAGACACATCTGTATTATTTACTGTGATCCTCCTCAAAGTGCCGCGTGCGACATGTAAATGTATACAAGGATCCGAAGGATGTCAGCTCTCGGGAGAATATTTTGTGCTTATTACAATAAAACTGATCCAGAAAATAATTTAAAATCACCAAGCAGAGACTTCTGGGAAGGTCTGTTTACTTGACAGCTGGTGAGTCAATGGGGTTGATTTACAAAACACAAAAGGACAGTTCACTTTGAAAGGGAATTTTCCTTTCACTTAGTGAATGAGATGAAGCTTGCTGGCTTCTACCATCCAATAATGTGCAAGCAAAAATGCATTTTTTTAAAAATTTCTTTGCACTTTATTTGGGTATTGACAACCTACTCTTGACATATCCCAAAACTTCCACTCCGCTCCTCCCAAGACCTACTTCTCCCTAGCTCTTTTGTCTCCTCCTTCACCTCCAAGGCTTCTCCAGAGCCTCTCCCATCCTCTGTAACTCCCTCCCCCAATCTGTCCAGTTATTGTCTACCCTGTCCGCCGGTGATTCCTGAAAACTAATTTATCCTGAGAAGCCTACCCTGCCTCTACCTAAAAACGTTGCTTTAACCACCTCCATCAGCTCATCCCCCACAGGTATTACCTTTTGTAAAAAAGTCCCACTTTAGATTGTAAACTCCACGAGCAGGACCCTCCTAATCCTTCTGAATTGAACTGTACTGTAATTGTATTGTCTCCTTTTATATAGAGAAGAGAGACAGCAGCGCCACTCTTAAGTGTAGACAGTTAAAATCAGGCAGAATTAATGGTAAAATTGTACTCACATAGGTAGGTAACAGGTAGGCATGTCAAGTCAGGCCTGACGAAGGAGTGAGCATGCATGATGAGCGCCATCTTGGAAACCCAGTCCATGCAGAGACATCATCCCTGTGAGCCTTCCTGAGCCCCTCTGCTACTCCCCCAGCCCTGGACACCACCGGAGCAGTGGGAAAACACCCAGAGCGTGGCCAAAGGACCTGATGCTTCCACTGGACCTCCATTACTTGACATGCTGTTACCTACCTATGTGAGTGCAATTTTACCATTAAATCTGCCTGATTTTACCGGTCTACACTTAGAGTGGGACTGCTGTCTCTCTTCTCTACCAGCATTAGGAGTATCTACAAGCTCTTACAGCCGTCTATCTCCTCGGACAAGTCCATACTACTATAAGCCCCCCACTACAGATGGACTTGGACACAACCTCCACATGGACCTTCTACTAACCCCCATTGCTGATGGTCCATCCCCAAACGCACACAGGGTAGATGCGTCTTAGCACTCTCTCCCCCCACTCTTGTCTCCTATTAATTTGCTGTGAAAACTGTTGTCACTATATAAATCCTGTATAATGATAATAATAATAATATTAAAGCAGTATTAAATCCACTTTGCTATTTTTTACCTACAGGTAAGCTTATAATAAAGCTTTCCTGTAGGTAAAATTAATATCTCCTAAACATACACCGTTTAGGAGATATTTGGGTTTTTCTTTTAACTGGGGCATACCCATGCCATTCTTCAGAGAACTGTGCTGTGGCCTGTGACTCCCATGGACATGTGCGGGAGTGATGTCATCACGGCTTAGCCAGTCAGATGGCTGGAGCTCACGAACCTGGAAGGAAGACCGGGCGAAGATGGAAGCCTTTACAGTGGTGACAGTGCCCCGCTGGGGGGCTTTGTTTTAAGGTAAGTTTTACATAATGTACTAGCATACAATGCAGACTAGTACATTATGCCATTGCCTTGCAGAGAATGTTTTCTGTTTTTTTCTTTGGATGCGGTTTACTACCACTTTAATAAAAAGAAACAAATATTCTTTGCAAAGTGAAATTTCACAGCATTTTGGCGGAAATTTCCTTTGAAAAGTGAACACATTATTAATCTCAGCATTTTTCCCTATAGTAACAATGAAGACTCCTCTTGGCTCATCCTTCTTTCCTATGCAGTAGGTTCCAATATTAAGACAAAAGTGCTGTCCATACATGTAATAAATGAGCAACCAACTGATTTAGGGGATTATTTACTAAAACTGGAGTGTGTAAAATCTGGTTCAGCTCTGCATAAAAACCAATCAGCTTCCAGGCTGTATTTTCAAAGCTTAACTGAACAATTTAGAAGCTAATTGGCTACCATGCACAGGTGCACCAAATTCTGAGGGAACCAGTTTTAGTAAATCTCCCCCTTAGGGGTTCTAAATGATCCTCCTCAAAAAACTACACTCCCTCAGCCTCAGAGATTCTGCTCTCTCCTGGCTCTCATCCTACCTGTCACAACGCTCTTTCAGCGTTACCTATAATGCTACCACCTCCCCTTCACGCCCCCTCTCTGTT